TTTTTTTCTGTGGCCCCATGCACCATGGATCAGATATTATAAACTGATCAGAAAGATACTACAATTTTTTTTTTTCTCTTTTTTTCTTTCTTTTTTTTAAACTACGCTATATTTTTCTCTCAGATCTTTCATCATCTTTCAAATTCTTTCAATCCACCTTCACTACCCACCTACCACTACTCCTAAGGCTTATACAGGAGACCCCTGCCAACATAGCTTTGTTGTCCCCCTCCAGCCATCAGAGGGGATGCATGTACACTTGATCTTAGCCAAAGGGCCGAGAAAGGTATTGTGGCATTGTGTCCACTGTCCACCATAATATCATTATATCATATATATCCAACTGAAAGAATCCAAAAAAGGTTGTATCACTTGCTTTATAGCTCAGTTCGTACACCCATGAACTCTTGAAATACGGACTCGAGCTTGAATCCAGATGCAATCAGATGAGCAGAACAAGAAAATTCTAAATGGCCTGGGGCCAGTCCGTTCAATGATGAATTCTCAAGACCGTCACCCTTCTTTTTTTCCCCCCTAAACCTCCGAGAGTCTTTTTGCCGAGGCAGAGTATAAGTGCATGCCATGCTTTCCCGAAGTGTGAGCGTGACCATGTTCCCTTTATTTTGACTGGCGCACCGGCCATTTTGTTCCGGTGGCACCCGGCCGCCAAAAAATGCAGTATAAACACGGTTTAGGTTATAGTTATGACTTGTATTAAAAAAAAAAAAAAAAGTTATAGTTACGACTCTTCGCCTCTGAAAGGTAGTGGTGGTTTAAAAGGATAGTGCAACAGTCCTGTTTATATGAGTACTAGCTGTACTGTGTCTGTCCTGTGCCTATGACGTCTTCAGTCCTGATTCCGCCGCTTTGTAGCCTATTACGCCATGCCCGAAGCTATCAATGCATGATTTATTGGACCCAAGCAGGGTAGGTTTGGCACCTTCTGCCGACACCTACTGTAGGCGGTACGCGCACCTACCAGTCGGGCCGACCTGTAGGCACCTGTCGGCGATCGGCAGACTGCCTTGCAAGTGTTTTTTTTGGGGGGGGAGTGGGGGTTATAGGGGGAGGTATAGGGGGTTTATGGGGGGGTTAACGGGGGTTAGCGGGGGACATGAGGGTGTTAAGGGGGTGTAGGGGGGTGTTTTGGGGGGGGGGCTATGGGGGATCTGGACCTTGGCTTTTTTTTTCTTTTTTTTTTTTTGCGGGGTGCCTGCCGACCCCCGACCGTTAGGTGCCGACCAATCCGACGGTTGGCTCGTCGGCCCCCGACCAATCGAGGGCGCCAACCGTTGGCAGGACTACTCTGGAGTCTGGAGCCAAGGCTCCTAAGCTCCCAATTTCCGAAGCCCCAAAGCTATTTGCTGTCCGCGACTGTTGGCTACTGACCTAAAACAAAAAAGAGGTTGATTTATGCAACTCTGCAGAGCTTTGTCTTTATTGAAAGGATTAGATGCCTTGTCCATGTCGCAACTCCCAGTCCCAGAGTCCTATTTGGGCCCAGTACCAGATGGTCCCAGTCCCACTGGTCCCCGTTGGTCCCAGTCCCAAGAGTCCGTTAGGGTCTAGAGGCCGAAGCATCATAGGTTGGAAGGGTCCGGTAAGAAAGTCGTTAGAAGTTGCAGAAGCTCTGCCGTAGGGCTTGTGCAGGGGGTTGAGTTGGGTAACCGTGTCTGACGAAAGAGAAGGGCGCTCGTGCGCCATAGGCAGGGTCACCGAGGAAGTCGCAGGGCAGACGTAGGAGAGGGAAGGACACCTCGCGGGAGCATTCAGAGAGAGAGAGAGAGAGAGAGAGAGAGAGAGAGAGAGAGAGAGCTGAGCGAAAACGTACGGGCCCTAGACAGGCCGATCTCCAAAGAAGAAATATGGTTTGTTGTCCAAAGCATTAACAACAATGTCCCCGAGTATAGACGGACTTACCAAAGCATTCTGGCGGCACTTTAGGCCAGCGCAAAAAGTGAGGATCTAATGAACTTTGATCAGGAAAGATGGGAAAAGGGTGAACTTTCATGAGGCTGGGAAAAGGGTGTGCTTGGGGAACTTCTCAGTAACAGTGTGGTCAACCTTCTTTACAATGAAGGGTCCACAGGGGCCATGGCCATTAAAAACTATACCATTAAAAACTATAGACCCATCTCTCTCCTCACCCTGCCTTAATACTCTGGCAAACGCTCTGGCCCTTACAGCATTAGACCTCACTGATAATGGTTCCACCTTGATTACACGTGCTTCCTCCCTTCCAGATATATCCTAGACAAGCGCGATGAACCTGCGCAAGGCTAAAAGAAAGACCATAGAGCGAAAGTTGAAAGCCGCCATCCTATTTTCCAATTTTGAAAAGGCGAAGGACCGGGTAAACTGGGCCTTTATGAATGCCAGGACTGAAAAGATGGGGCGCCACGCCCAAACTTCGGAGATGGGTTAAGAATTCTCGACCATGACATGACTGGCTGGTGCAAGTCAATGGCATGATTTCCACCAGCTACCAGATCACTCCATCTGTCCATCAAGCTGACCCGCTGACTCTACCAATATTCCTCTTCGCAATGGAAGCTATCACGTCCTTCCTAAGGAAAGGCCCATCTATATATACACTACTGGTTAACGGGAACCCCCCATTTCCAGCCCCGGGCTAACGGGCCCAAAACTGAAATTAGGGTTTGGGGGGATTGGGAGTCAATTGTTTTTGGGTTTTGGCTTCTTTTTTTTTTGCCTGTTTTTGTTTTAGGCAACCTCAGTGGTTAGAGCACCGGTTGGAAATGCGCATTGTGGTATGAGGTTGCGGGTTCAAAACTCAATTGCAGCCTCGTGCATGGACACCGGCAGGACCTTGGAATGACGCACGGCTGGACACACCCCCCCTTGGGCTGATGCAGGTAAGCTATTACAGACACTGCCTGCGCACCACCCAAGGGTTAGTCCGCGTTGTTATATGTCAGATTCTACCTACGCGCGTTTACTTGAGGACATTGGCTACTGGTTGCTCTGAGGATCTCCACCATCACCCGTCATATATGGTAGGTTATCCTAGTTACATAGTACAGTCTGGCATAGCTGTTATACACACATACTCACAGTGTCACATGGTTCTCGGTACCTATACTGCCTATGGGCACACCTATACACCTTCTTAGGGCGTACACCCGTGGCCTATGGGCAAGTTGCACAGCCTACGGTCACTGATACACTGCTTACACATACACATAGGTTACGACATAGACACTGACATATCAGTAGAGTCAGGTGACGGAGACCGATCTCTGTCATGTTTTCGTCACGGGGTTCAGATCCAGGCTACAGGGAGTCTTCTCTGGTCTGTGCGAATACTTGGCCGCCATTCAGTTCGTCAGTATGGACTGATAGTGATACTGACTGTACCTGACGTCTGAAGTCCCTCGAGTAGCAAGGTTTCCGCGTTCAGGCTTCCACTGGGGCTGGGTGGGGTAGTTGTCCAGTCCAGGTGCTTATAACTACTGTTCGGTCTATGTCACCCTCTGCGGGGTAGGGTGATTGTCCTGAGTGCTTGTACCACCCAGGTAGGATAGCAGGTATAGGGGGTGTGTTAGGAGAATTGAAGTGAGGTAGGGTAGGGAGGCAGTCCTGCAGTCGCGCATCAGAGTACCCACTAGCTGGTTGAGCTGGAATAGTACCAGGAAGGTGACCCCTCCGATATCAGAATAGGTGGGAGCCATGAGGCCACACCTGGCCGGCGTGCAGTTGGTGATTGGTGCCAGTGGAATACCACCAACTCGGGCTATACCTCCCCACAAAAACTTCTGAGTCGGTTGCCAGGAATAACACTGGGTTGGTTTCCTACTGGGAAGTCTCCACTCCAGCGCTCCTATGACCGTACCCACCTGGGTCGATACCCGACCTCTATAACAACCTGGGCTATTTAAAAGAAAAAAAAAGAAGGAAAAAGACAAAGATGGCCCCGCTTCCCAAATGGCACAACATGTATTAACCCACCAGTGCCTCCGAGAGTCGCGGCGGTTAACAAGCCGTGACAATGATGAACGAATGGGCCACTACAGGAGCACCCGAAATGCATCCGACTAGAAACACTTCTACTCTATTTTTGCCCCCGGTCGATATGTGGGAAAGGTACTGGTGTGGCACAAAATGTATTAACCCACCAGTGCCTCTGAGAGTCGCAGCGGTTAACAAACCGTGACAATGACGAACGAATGGGCCACTACAGGAGCACCCGAAATGCATCCGACTAGAAACATTTCTACTCTATTTTTGC